GAATGCCACAAATTCTCCTAAATCACTCGTACACACAATTTAAGAACAAATCTGTGCGTACGAACGGTTCTTGCATGAGGCCCATTGATTTTATTCAACAGACTCATGGTCCACATTAACAAAAAAAAAAAAACTATAAAAGACTTGCTTACCAGTGTTTCCACAAAGATGACTGGTAGTGTAATGAACTCACAAAAGACTGTTCCTGGATCTGCACAAACAACACATAAACTTATATATCAGATTTCTCATGAGTGCCTGCAGTGTCCTGATGTGTGTGTTACAAAATATCTCACTTGCACTACTGAGCCTGGGTTGCTTAAGCAGAGTCATTAAGCAACCTTAAATTTACACCACAAAGACTTTTGAAAAAATGTCCTATACAGAGACAAGATCCACATAAATATTTTAATCCAAAATGCACAGGACCATGTTTGCAATACATCAGCTCAAACCAACTGTCAGGCACGGTGGTGGAGTGGTGATGATGTGGGCTTGTTTTCCAGCCACAGGACCTTACAGTCACTGAACCCACCATGAACCCCTCAGTAGACCAAAGGTTTTTTTTAGAACTTAAAATTTTATTGGTTTTTACAGAGCAATTACACAGCTATACATCAGCAATAATTAACAAAAATGTTGACAGTGTCCAATCCAATCCAACTTTATTTGTAAAGCACTTTTTGCACCATAGTAGACCAAAGTGCTGTACAGAATCAGCATTCCAACACAGCTCATACAAAAACAAACAATCACAATTAAAATAGGAAAAAAACTACAGAAAAATAAAAGCAGTATGAAGTTTTTCATAGATTAAACATCTCAGCAGGATATCTTACAATTTCAGCATCACATTTGTGGTCTCAGCATCTTCATACATTTCTAAAAACAAGGATCCACTTTGGGTAATGGAGCTAGGCACCTTAAGCTGTCTAGTTTGCTGGGCTTAGTTACATGAATAGGGCTTCTACTGGACCTCAGAGTAATCTAAAGGTATCTTTTGAAGTCTTAGCAAGTATGTTATTTCTTCCATTTGGTACAATTCCCTTACTTTTTGAACCCAGGAGTCTTAGGAACGTGGATCTAATTGCATCCACTTAATTGTAGTGCATTTCAAAGCTGCTGTAAAAAGAACATTTAAAAGATGAGATTTGGGTCGTCCTTGCAAACCAGCTGGAATAATACCGAGTAATGCAACTGTTACATCCTTTGGTATAACCTCCTGAAAAATCTGGTTTATGGCCTTGTACACATCTTCCCAAAAGTTTTATAGTTTTGGGCATGACCAAAAAATATGTGTATAATTAGGCACTGCTGCCACAGTTTCTCCAACACAAACTTGGTACTTCAGATTCTATCTTAGCAGCTACGTATGGGGTTCTGAAATATCTACTGATCATTTTTCATTTATATTCCTGCCATGTATTTGAGTTTGTAACTCGGTGTGCCTCAGTCCAAACTCTTTCCCACGTTTCATCAGAAATGTTGTTGGCCGTCTCCGCCTCCCATCTTTGTTTTGCCCGAGTGGGTGCATTGGGATTCATGGACAGAAACACCTTATATAACTTTGTTATTAATTTCTTATCACCTTCACCTTTTTGGAATTGAATTAGTAAATTCTCTATTGGCTTAGTACTTTTTCCCAGTCCCTGTGTGTAGTCAAAAAAGAGCACAATTGTAAATATATGAAGAAAAAAAGTTTTTGGAGATGAAAATGGCCACATAAGTCTTCGAATGACATGAGGTTGTTCCTGTTGATTAACTGATGTAAGAACATAAGTCCCTGATCAGCCCATTTTGAAAACATTTTGTCCAAGAAATTGGAAGTGAAGGATTTAATATGTCCAATACTAGTTAATATTGATAAGCCTCTTGGCAACTTAAAAGCAACTCGTACTTTGCTCCAAATGTTAAGTGTAGTTCTAGTCCACAATGACAGTTCATTTACTGGAATATCTAAAAATGGCAGTGCCTTTAGTGGTTCAGAGCATCTCACTTGCTCAATGCTCAGCCATCCTGTGTGAGAGGACCAAAAGGTTTTAGGGTTTAATGTGAGGCTTGGACCAAACTGGGTTATTATTCAACATAGCAATGATCCTAAACACAGCAGTAGGTCTACAACAGAATGACCTAATAATAATAATAGTAATAATAATAAGAAGAAGAAGAAGAAGAAGAAAGGAATCGTGTTGTTGTAATGGTCCAGTCAAAGTCCAGTTTCACCTGATTGTAATGCTGTGGTGGAACGATGACAGAGAACCAAAGCAACGTTGTAAAGAAGAGTGGGCCAAAACTCCTCTACAACCCAGTGAGAGATGACTGAAATCTGACAGAATAAGAGTTATTGCTGGTAAAGGTGAAGTGTCCCTGGGCAGGACACTTCACCTCTCTGCCTCTGATGTGTGTCCATCAGTGTATGGATGTGATTTAAAGCTCTGATTAGTCTCTATAGGATCATCTGTACGTTAACTCTGTAGAGACCTACCAGTGTTCTGTGTGGATAAGTAAATGAGGACACAGATTGTAGTGTGAAGAGCTTTGAGTATCCTGGTTGGATAGAAAGGCGCTGTATAAGTACAGTCCATTTACCATTAAAAACATGAGAACTGTAAGAAGCTGGGTTTAATTTTTTCCATGAGATGATATCTTTGGGTACATTTGATCCTGACTTGTCAGCCAGATGGATGTTTAATGTTGTAACTTGATGTTCTTGTTGATCAAAAAGTCTTACTTTTCCATGTCCAAACAGAGTTATCCGACACCGGGACGTGCGGGCTTGTCATTATGGCGTCTACGACAAGTTCAGGCTGCAAGTGTCCGAGCAGAGTCAGCGGAAAGCTCTGGGTCGTAAAGAGGTGACGGCCACGCTCCGGCCCTCAGCCTCGCAGGAGCCGTCCGGCCCTCGATTCCACGACGAGGAGCGCAGAACTAAAGAGCAGTTTGCAGACAGCGAGTTCTTTGAGCAGACTGCCTTTCAGACAGGTAGGTGGTGCCGTGCTGTGGCCACTAGATGGAGCCAAACATCCATGCTTGTTATTTCAAGCAACGTTGGAGTTTAAATGAATCTGTATGTTTGGCTACAGCTCTGGCTCATTGACTCAGATAAAATAGCTGTAGTTTATTTAAAAAATCACCAGAACAGAATATATTCTGAGATGTTAAGTAAAGATACAGGAGCTTGAAATCTCTTAGTGTTCAGATGTTTCTCCTTTTCTCTTTTCAAAAATGATAAAGAAAAACTAAATTAAAGATTCCTTTTTATTTTGTCAGTCAATTAAGAAAGTGACACTCATACAGATTTATTCCACATAAAGTCAAATATTTCAAGTCTATTTCTTGTGTGGCAGGGCTGTACAGTGCGACGTGCTGTGAAAAAAACTGCCTGTGCTATAAAAGAAAAAGACTTTGTAGCACTGGTGCGACAGCTCTGGAAGCCGCTTTTTTTCTGTCCGTCCGTCTGTAATTTTTGTAATGCATTAAATTACCGCCTACAATAAATTCTAGCGATGTGTAACATAGACGTTTGATTCGGACTGTTTTAAACGAAAACCCGTACCTGACTCGGTTCAGAAGACGCACGCAAGCAGAGAGTGAGAGAGAAGGAGAAGGAGAAGGAGGGGGCTTCCCCCGCCTCTGTCGGAGCGAGGCAGCGACAGAGGCGCAACAGACTCGTCAAGAACTTTGAGACTTTAACCGTAGCTCCCAAAAATAACTTAAATGTACCATCTGTGTTTTACCAAAAACTCTGAAAAATTACCAACCGAAGATGCTTTAGCCGCAACTCGTGTTAAAAACTCAGAACTTCCTCCCCACAGCGCTGGTTGTTCTTCTATCCTCATGGGGACTTTGCATTGACTTTCATTCATTTACCAGGATTTTCTGAAGCCCATCTGACCCTAAATCTAGTGTAAACTTTATTTGCCCCGTGATGTGGACCAGGACTGTTCTGGTCTTTTGTCCCCATAAGAAACAGTGGGTCCCTACCAGGCTGTATGTACCGGGGAAATAGTCAAAAATTGTCCCCACCAGGCAGCAAAAACAAGTAGACCCACCTCCTCCCCATTTCAGTCAGGAACATTAACCCTTTAGATGCATTAAAATGTAGAAAAACATWATTTTCATAGTGATTGGAAGTCTTTCTATGCTTGTTTTTATGTTACATAACTGATATTTTGTATCTATAAAAGTTAGTATAATTAGAACAAAGAAATATGTGTATTTTGAATAAATGTTACAAATGGGTGTTTTTTATTTAGGCATGACACTTCTTTACTCTTTATACGTACTGAGGAGATAAATACAAACTTTAATGACTCAGAGACTAACTGCAGATACAATCAGAATAAGAGTCAGATTATTTTGAAACTTAAAACCCTAAAAATATTTACTTGGACATATTTTTTGGACTTATTACTTGGACTAAGATAAATTTGCTGATCACTTACAGTAATATTAACTTAATCATAATAAATTATTATCGATAACTATCATGAAGAGTCATTAACATTAAGATGTAACGTAGTAGTTAAATATTCACATATTTGTAATTTTTTTTATAATTGAATCTGAGCTGTATAAATCTGTTTTTTATCAAACAAGTAGCTCTTTGTGTTACTCCCCTGAAGTAGCTGTCAGTCTCAAAAAGTTTGGTGACTCCTGTCCTACAACAATACTCCCCATATTATTCACCGTTCTGGCTTTTGGTTTTAGAGATTAGAACAGACATTTTATGCTGGTGCTACAACTTTTTGTTCTGTGCTACAAGATCAGCAACCTCTGTAGCACCGGTGCTATTAGCTAAAGAAGTTAACGTACAGCCCTGAGTGGCGAATATGGTTTACAAATAATAAAATAAATTTCTGAGCTGGTGCCAAATTCTAATTCATTCTAAACGTGAGCTACAAATGTCCCATTCCTCAAGTCAAGCCACTCCTGAACCAAAGACAAAGTCAGACGTGTCTTATCTTTGCTGAGGAGACAAAGAACTGGGCTGTTGCTCAGTGGTCCAGTGCCCATTTTCAGATGAAAGGCATTTGGATATCAAGCTCCTAGAGTGTGGCAGAAGAGTGGAGAGGCTCAGAATCCATGTTGAAGTCCATTGTGAATTTTCCACAGTCAGTGAGGATTCGAGGAGCCGTGTGCTGCTGTTGGTCCACTGGGTTTTAAGATTTATGGACAGGGTTCCTACATTTCCTTAAAAAGTCTTAAAAGGCATTCAAAAATAAGGCCTTAATTAGCCTTAAAATGTCTTATCAATCTTTCAGAAGTATGAAAAATTTTAACACATTGTAAATAGGATGATTGTAATTCATCTCAAATATTAAAGTAATTGGTAACTTTTTTATATTTACATGCAGACATTCCCCTTTGACATAATTTCCTGTTACTTAAATGCAAATATCTCAACAACTGTCCATCTGAGCAATGTGAAATTTGTAATATGTTAATAATGTTATCTTTTCAAAAATGCATTAACTTTTCTTACAAATTTTGATGTCACGGGCACGTTAAGGTTTCATCTACAGCAAACTGGGGTTAAGACCCCACTGTGGGTTCGTTAAACTGACTGCTAAGAATATTTCTGCTATAGTTAGATATGGATAAAAACAATTGGTCTATTAGCAATATTTGAATACTTCAACCAAAAATACTTTGGTAATAATTCATGAGTTTCTGCCACAGTTTTATTTTATTTTATTTTTTGTCATTTGTGTTTATTTTGAAATTGGTCTAAAATTTGATTTCAGTTGGCATTAAAAGGTCTTAAAAAGTCTTAAATTTAACTTGCTTTAAAGTGTAGGAACCCTGTATGGAGATGCTGATTTCATTTTCCAGCAGGACGTGGCTTCTGCCCACATTTACAAAAACCTGGCTGTAATATTTACATTTTCTGAGACACTGAATTTTGTTTTTTATCATTTGTAAGCCATCAAAATGACAAGAAATATAAGACTGAAAAAGTCTCCATAGATTTCTCTATACAGATTAGCTTTGTAGAGATGTAGTAAAGTGCTGAATGAATTTGTGAATGGGTAAATGATGTAGTTTACTTGGCATCTGAAAGTACATTTCCTCAAAGGTATTTTTAATCTGAAAAGAGCTTCACTGAGTGAGAACTAATGTTGAAAGCTCAGCAGACAGTTAGGTTTCACTTTCACTTTCACCCAAGAGCCTGCAGGAGTCATGGGCGGGGTGTGTGGGGTGGGGGGGTTGCGCTTTGCCATGAGGAAGCTCGGCTTAAAGACACGTCCCAGAGGCGTTTCTGGCCCCCACCTGTCATTTTGCTCCTCAGCACGGCTTACTAAAAACGCTGCAGGATTTCTCAAACATGCATGAATGAGTGAAAGCAAGGCTTTGAGCTTGTTTTTTTATGAGAGTATAACATTATAACATGATACAAAACTAAAAAAAGTTGATTTTACATGATATTGCCCCTTTAAGAAATCTGTTAACACTGAGAATGTGTTGAGGGTGACTTTTACTAAAACAATTTTAGCTCAAAATCTGTAAAACTGAAAAAATATAGTCATTTTTGTGTTTGCTAAGGGTAATTAGCTGAAATGGACAATTAGACTGACTTCAAAATTTATTGTGTGTACCCAGTTATTACTTTGTCAAAGTTTCATTAAAATCCATTCAGATATTTTTTCTCACTTCCATATTTAATTCTGCATAACACAGTTCTTTTCTGAAAGGTTCCCACAGCATGCATGTAGTGGTTCATGAGATATTTTGCTAACAGACAGACAAAGACATCTGTTTTTTTGTGGAGCGATTGCTCTGATTGTGCTGTGTTTTCTGTGTGGGCTTACCAGAGAGCCGTCCTGTCGCTGGAGGACCCAGTCTGCTGACGGTGCTGCTGGGACTGGTGTGCATGGCCGCCCTGATGCTCCCCACACTGGGGGAGCAGGAATCCACTGTGCCTGTCTACCTCCACTTAAGTGTTAACAAGAAACTGGTAGCTGCTTATGTTCTTGGTGGGTAAAATAACACAAACACACTGACTTATACAGTTGTTCAGTCAGTATGTAAAAAAAAAACACACAACTTGAAGTGATTCCCAGTTTGGGTTTTGTTTTTCGTTTTATATTTTAGGTCTTCTCACGATGGTCATCCTGCGTACATGAAGTTCTTTAAACTGAAAGGATGATCGAATCTAAAGGGTGAAGAGCATCAAACCAGAGGCACTACTTCATACTTCCATGAGTAGGACTGACACCAGGAGGGCAAACTCCTGAAAGTCCTCTGAGATTTCCATCTTCTTTTATTTTGTAAAACTTGTTGTCAGTTTCACACAGGTGTGTTTTGTCACCTGCGGTGTGTGCACCGCAGGTCGGAGCAGTGGTCGTGTGAGCGGAGATATCTGTGAAGAAACATGAGGCCGGTCAGCGTCAGCCGGCTTCACGATGTCTGTATTTTAATCATCATTATGTGACAGAATGTGGTCGGTTTGTGTGTGAAGGAATCGTGTACATAAAGCCATTAAAACATCCTCCTGGTCTCCATCTGTAACTGCCCTTATGATGCAAAGCTTTCATGATGTGGACTGAAGCGTGGGTTTCTTACTCTTCTAACAGGAAGAAACTTTTTACATGTCATCAAAACAAACATTTAGATTTGCTGGAATATTAGTGCTTTCATCACGTGCTTATTAAACATTTCAAAACAGCTCAGCTGTAAAATATTTGTAAGCAGATTTTGCTCATTTTTGAGAGAAAATATTACCAAGCACTAAAAACTGGAGAAATAGGAAATCTTGAAATTTGTCAGTGAAGCTACTGGCTGAAATTATAACATTAACTTAAAGTCTAATAGTAATTTAGGACTTTTTACAGTTACTAATGTGCATACTCAAACTCAGTATTTTGCAATGCATTGTGGTCTAGATAGATTTCAGCCAGCTTCCAGTTCATAGAAACACTAATACACTTAATCTAAATGTTCATATCTACCTGTTACTGCTCTGCAGTCAGTCTGGCATCCTAGCACAAATACCAATATGTTTGTTTATAAAAGTCAGTAGAAAAGCAGGTCTGAGGGACCAAAACAGTTAAGTTAAATGCAGACTGGAAAAAGCAATGACCTTATCAGCCAGTTTTACACATTCACATTAACAGTAAAAAATGTCAAACAAGTATTAAACACCCACATGTGTGATCTGAAGGCTTCTTCAAGTCTTTATAGTCTAGATGTCAAAAGACAATGAAAATTGTAAATTCACACTGAAGACATCAAAACTATGAATTAACACGTGGAATTATATACTTAACAAAAAAGTGTGAAACAACTAAAAATACTGTATGTCTCATATTCTAGGTTCTTCAAAGTAGCCACCTTTTGCTTTGATTACTGCTTCACACACTCTTGGCATTCTCTTGATGAGCTTCAAGAGGTAGTCACCTGAAATGGTTTTCCAACAGTCTTGAAGGAGTTTCCAGAGATGCTTAGCACTTGTTGGCTCTTTGCCTTCACTCTGAGGTCCAGCTCACCCCAAACCATCTCGATTGTGGAGGCCAGGTAACTGTGGAGGCCATGTCATCTGGCACAGCAGCACATCATCACTCTACTCCTTGGTCAAATAGCCCATACAAAGCCTCGAGGCGTGTTTGGGGTCATTGTGCTGATGCAAGATGCTTTGGTATCCATGCTGATTCAGTATGCCTTCAATTTTGAGTAAAACCCAACAGTGTCACCAGCAAAGCACCCCCCACACCATCACACCTCCTCCTCCATGCTTCACAGTGTGAACCAGGCATGTAGAGTCCCATCTGTTCACCTTTGCTGCATTGCACAAAGGCACAGTGGTTGGAACCAAAGGTCTCTAATTTGGACTGATCAGACCAAAGCACAGATTTCCACTGGTCCAATGTCCATTCCTTGTGTTCTTTAGCTCAAACAAGTCTCTTCTGCTTRTTGCCTGTCCTTAGCAGTGGTTTCCTAGCAGCTATTTTACCATGAAGGCCTGATTCACACAGTCTCCTCTTAACAGTTGTTCTAGAGACGTGTCTGCTGCTAGAACTCTGTGTGGCATTGACCTGTTCTCTAAGCTGAGCTGCTGTTAACCTGACATTTCCGAGGCTGGTGACTCGGATGAACTTATTGTCTGCAGCAGAGGTGACTCTTGGTCTTCCTTTCCTGGGGCGGTCCTCATGTGAGACAGTTTCTTTGTAGCGCTTGATGGTTTTTGGGACTGCACTTGGGGACACTTTCAAAGTTTTCCCAATTTTTCGGACTGACTGACCTTCATTTCTTAAAGTAATGATGCTCACTCACTTTTCTTTACTTAATCGCTTTTTTTTCTTGCCATAATACAAATTCTAACAGTCTATATCAGTGGTTCCCAAACTTCTTATCTTCTGACCCACAAAATATTCATGGCAAAAACTTGTGACCCCAAATATTACTGGTCTGAGTACACGAACTTCGTTAATAACCCTAAAAACACAGGCTTTTTGACAATTTAAACAGCTTGTACACAAATAAAAGTACTTATTTATACTTATTTTGTGTTTTTGTAATAGTTATAGGAAAAATGTTACATCAGCAATTATTTTATTACCCTTTAAATTGATTTCTGGAGATTATCCAAGGTGCTTCATGACCCATAATTGGGTCCCAAGCCCAACTTTGGGAACCAAAGTGCAGTGGTTCCCAAACTTTTCATCTTTTGACCCACAAAATAACAGTAGAGACCTGTGCCCCGAAAAATTTTTGGATGGTAAACATTTGCATTAGGCCAACTAAATAAACATGGGCATAGTAACAATATTTTATACTACATTTATCCATTTTAAATACACTAACCTCACTCA